CTCCTTTTTGAACTCGAAAAATGGGATTATTAGCAATAAAATTTTACACAACCCTATAGAGAAATTGTATTCAATATACTGAAAGAAGCAGCTCTGAAAGAAGTATCAACATTAGACCTTCAACAGAGCTGGAAAATAATTTTGTAATACCGACAACAGCTTGAATTCTAGTAAGAATTTATGATGGGTGCATGAGAGGAATAATGTACAATGATATGAAATGATGAGCGAGGGATGCTGTAGTATCTGCTTCAAGATACTCTGGGAAGGACTGAGCAAAACCTTGAAGAATATTCGTCAGTATAGATTGGAATCTAGAGGGAAAATCCACTGAAAACATCTAACGTCTTGTCATAAAAACATCTTTCCACTGAAAACATCTAACGTCTTGTCACTGACATGTAAAAAACTATACTATATTAAATAATCCACATGATTTTAGGTTATAAAATATTGAACATGTCTACAAATTTGCAACGAATGCATTGAATTTAGATTGTAACTCACTAGTATGAATTTAACAATATAGGGTCAAAAATTTCAACTGTAACACTTCGAAATCCACTAACACGTCAAAACACTTTCATTATTGATGCAAATCATCATTGGGATTAGTTTCAATGTTCTTGTCGGCGCGAAAATATAACAATCATTAAACCAAAAATGGCTACACATTTATATTAAATGTTCGGTATCGATACATCCACAGTTGTGCTCTGACGTCACGTATGTATTAATTTATACAGCTCCAAAAATATCTCAACAACATATTATCAGCAATATATTATCTTTAAATCTACAATTTAGTAAATAATCAGCTACGAAATAATTAATAAGTTGTTAACTTTATAACACTTACAATAATCGACATGTTGTATCGATATAAAATACCGCTAAAAGTCTATGTACTTCAAAGATTTGGTATCGATATGTCAAAAGTCGTGCTCTGACGTCATGTTCGTGTTAATTTACAGCCCCAAAAATATTAATATATATATATATTTTATCAACGTCATATTATGTTTCAATCGACAATTTAGTAAATAATCAGCTACGAAATAATTAATAAGTTGTTAACTTTATAACACTTAAAATAATCGATGATTTTTCTCGTCATAAAATACCGCCAAAATGTCACTGTTGGCGCCATGTCGAAAAAAATTTACTATCAGCTTCATTTTCATTTATAAAGCTCGTAAATAAGAATTATACAGTTTCTGGTCAACAGAATAGTAAATCTGGATAAATAAATTAAACATTTTCTTTTTTGCAATACCTAATGAACTCAATGTCGTGGTCTCAAAAAAATACCGCGAAAATGCCTATAAATTTTAACAACCATAATGAACAGCTTTTATGCAAAATAAATTTAAGTCTAAATTTTAACTGCAGAAATTCGCAAATTTTTACAACATTTATAAAACTTCAAGCCGCCTAGAAAATTCAGCTTCCATAGTGACCGCAACCCTGCACAGAAAATTCTACGGAGAGCAACGTACCTGCACACCCACACCTGTTGACGTTCGACGACTCTCTGCTGCCCCCGCGCTTCAGTCGAATTACTTACAGATCTTGCAGAAGATGTCTCTGTCATCAAACGCTAGTTCAGTGGCGGAATGTGAATAGCAATCAACTCGAGGCATTAAAAGATCAAAATTAAACAAACAAGACTCCCTACATATTGCACGAATTTCCATTTGCTTCAGATTTAAAAACTGATAAACCTAAAGTTACAACATAATTACTGCTTCGATACATTTGGTCTCACTCTTAGTGACGAACAGAGGTTTTAAAGACGAAGTTTTGGAAAATTGGGGGCTTAAGAGAGACAAGTGGACAAGCCTATGAATATATATAAATAATTTGGGATTCAATAATTTATTTTCTATAGTTTTATAACAATGATAACGGTATATTCACTCATATTTACAAACATAGCAGGCATATAGGGCAGAGATCGAAAAATGGGAAGACGTAGCCTATTCGTATAACGCAATTGGTTTACCAATTGTTTTGTATGGGTCTAATGTTTGGTCTTTGCTTTAATTAAAGACACCTAATTATAAATATTTGAAATCGAGGTGCTAAGAAAAATATACCTTGTTTCTTATGCGTTCGGTCCCATATTCCAGTCTCGTCTTACAGATCGGCCATTCTGATTGAAGCGTTTAGTGGTTTTCCTCATTCCCTATAATCCGGATCGCAGCTTAATATCTTAGAGAAGGCTATAACCATTTCATATTGTTAGAAATTTGTAGTTAACAATCACCTTGATATTCGATGCTGCGTGACCTGTGAAATTTACAAAAACAGATCAGGAAGAAGACGGGATAAACATATATTTGACTGCGTGTAAGTCGATCGTATTCTGGTCATGACTACACAACTCAGCGTTTAAACTGCAATATAATGTGTATAGTTTTCCTCCACGTCCTCTATACACCTTCATGGCCAAATAAATATGCATAGGGATTTGAAGAATACAAAATAAGTAGCCGGTTTTGTAATTTTATTAGTTAAATAACACTACACTAGGACTTTGTTTCATTATTAAGGGAATATTATTTTGAGTAAGAGAATGTTGTGTTCTAATTTACTATCCGACACTGTAGCCACATACGTCATGCGTGACGTTACTGAGCGAACGAGCAGGGCAAGATGGCTGAAAAAATACAGGTGTACCATCACACAACCCCTTGAACATAACATTTCTGTAACACAAGTTTAATAAAATTAATGAACATTAAATGTTTGATGTTTTGCATCATAAATACATGAACTACAGGTTCCATAATATAATATAAAATCATTTATATGAATGTAGGCTTATATATGTTTACTAGTGAGTAAATTTCAAGCTGTATTTCTTCTGCACTTACAGAATCAGACCACTGAGTATCACTGCAAACCAAGTGGCCAAAAAATGAGACTGAGAGTCTATAAACGTAAAAAAATATTAATAAAATTCTACAGTTTCATTACAACCTCATAAAACTTCCTACCAATGTCTGGAAAAAGCATTGTCTTATGTTCATGTTGCAAATCTCTCGGTTCAAACCCCCGAAGCAACTAAATTAACTAACTAATTAACTAACTAAATACCTGACTAACTAACCCCATAAAGTAATGTCCTTCTTTAGAAGCTGGTAGTGAATTAGGTGGGCAACAAATTTGTCTCCAGAAAGTTCGTTGTATCATTGTTGTGTAATAAAGCTGAACTTGTTCGAAAGATGTGTGATTTCAGAGCCAGATTAAGATTTTATTTTAACCTACGGTTTATGTGGGTGTAACAGAAATGAGTTTTATGTCATTTTATCAACTGTTGCGACTACATTCATCTGCAAGCTCACGAAAGCTTTTCGTTTTAACCGATTCAAACCAGTTCACATTCTTTCATTTTACATCAATTCTAGTAGGCATGCGTAGATTTATTGGGCTTTATTAGAAGCCCTTGTGTTCTAGATTTAAATCTGGTTATTACTGGGCAATAAGTATGCCTATATGTGACCTACTATTGGGACAGATAGACTCTTGTAGCATTTCACACACCCAACCAGCGTTTCATCAACTTTCCCACGATTCTGTTCCTTCGAATACGAACATGTACAGTATCAGAAACAAAGAAGTAACTCGTTAGCGTTTATAAGTTGTTAAAGTAATTGTAATGCTACCAGTAGTATTAGTAGCATTAGGCCTAGAAGTTGTTTTTGTGACAGTAATAATAGGCCTAATGATAACAGGAGTAATACTGATAAATAGTACAACAGTAACTCCTCAGGGAAGAATCAGTCTTGAAAAGCTTTCAGCTCAGATGTTTACATGAAAAGGATGGACCATGTTGACGATGGGATCTGGATTGTTCCACATGATTTGAGAGTGCTCATTATGGCTATGTAAGTTTATTGAATTCGCTCTTGGTGCTCTGCGCAGGTGGAAAGCAGCATCGGAGAATTTCGACTTGCAAGCAGTGATCGCCTTCAACACACGTGTCTTGTTTCCTTGCGCTGTTGCTAGAGTCAGACAGAAAGGCAAGGTTTGGGAACTACGACACGGCGTGGTGTCAAATGGGGTACGAACAATGTCTCATGTTCTGTTTGTCACTGATTCGAAGCCCAGCCTTGTCTTTAACGTTTCTCATGGCTGTCCTTCGCTACCTCTCATGAATGCCGGGCAATAGCTTGAAGTAGCTTATGGCAACTTTACTGATTTCTTAAGTTGGGTATTTTCTGGGATTTTGCGCAGTGCAGTCTCGTAGAAATTTACCGACGTTTCAGAGGTGCAAAAGTAACTACGGGACTACACGGTGCAACATTCCAGATGATAGACAGTTTTCTGTAACTTCTCAAAAATTTCAAGATGATTGGAACAGACATAAGTTTACAATTTGGTATGTTTGAATTCTTATATTGTACATTGTAAGTATTTGTGCTATGCATTTATTTATGCACAATAATATTAATAAAATATCTTGAATTTAATACCATTGTACACAATTTATAATTTTTGTGCATTTATAAACATCGTGTGATTAATGTGAAGTTAGGCGTCAAAGTTATAATCAGTGACTGCATTCGAGTGTTTGAAGACGATCGATTGTTTTCATGTATTCGATTCTTCCCATCGATATTAATTCCCATAAACATAACGACTAAACCTGCTGCAATCTGACGTCTAGCTTTACAGTTGCAGAAGAGAATCTTTCTTATTCTAATACTTATGAAGGATTTTTACAAGATTATTGGGGGGATTAAAATTATCTGAAGCAAATAGGTTTTTACTACGCAATTGCACAACCTAGGCTGATCGAAACTGAGAGTCGTTGCTATAAAATGTACATATTAAAATCTCGCAATAAATTGCATTAAAATGAAAAATAAACCCCAGTCGTGCTATAAACGTTACGGGCACGCCTCCTTATTTTTGGAAACGAGCCAAAAGTCCGATGTTGTTCTGTTTTCCCTCCAGAGGGCCAGAAGGTCGCCATAATCAGCTGACGTCATGTTAGTCCGCCATTACAACAACTTTCTATTCCGAATCAGCTGTGAGAAATCGGAGAATGTGATTTTCCTATAATTTACAATAATACGTTTGTACAGTTTTAAAAAAATATGTACAATTAATAGTGAAAAAGAAATTGTTATATTTTATTTGGAAGTTAGTAAGTTTGTTACTGATGCATAGATTAAGTGATTTTGACGTTTCACAATATGTAGGCCATCGGCAAATCCTTGAAATGCATTTTCACACTTCGGTTTACTGTGCAAAAAGATTTAACTTGTTTATAACATTAGAAAAACAGCATTCTTCTATCGACGTACATGGTCAAGAGATGTTGTGAGGATGTGCGTTTATAAGTTTTCTATGAAGAGTAGGCGTGTCTTAGGAAATCGTGATGGTTTATTGCTTCTAGCAAGTTGTTTTACAAACTATATATTCTTTATTTGAAGAAATATCCTACACATGACACATGTAAATTATTTGTTTTAAAATTAAATTCATCTGTGTTTTACAGAACGTCATTCTTTTCTATCGTTATTTTTAGTGTTCTCCATGGTGTATTGATCGCATATTGTGCACGATTTAATTGTTCTTGCATTTTTTAATTCTACAATTAAGTCTTGATGCAGCATTCTGTATTAAGTCCTCAGTCTTTTGGGCAGTGTTTGTGACAAGTATGCCCTTGAACGTGATATGATACCCCAAGCGATTAGTGTATGGATAAATGCATTGTCAGCACCCATGCAGATTAGTGAAATTATAATAAAGAACGTTATCTTCTAATAGAGATTACAGATGAGCATCTTGATTCACCCCGGATAACTTGTAGTAGGTTTAGTTTGGTAATAGTAACAGATAGTCAGTGCAACTTCATTATGGTATAGTCTGATTTAACAGGATGTCAGCTAGTGAAACATTGAGGTTCACTGTTACATAATGAAAAATGAATCAATAGTTTTTTGGTGTCAAGGTGACGTAGGGTTAAGAGGAGAGGGTATGACAGTTGACTTTAACTAGCTTGGACTGTTTACAGGTCAGCTATACATGTCAGAATGGATGGCAGTTCTGAGCAGCCATCTAGCCTGCAGTCGATATGTCATGTTCGAGCATGTGAACTATTTCCGAAACGAACTCTTCAGGCTGAGGATGTTCATCTGTCAGTGCCATTTGTACCTGTGTGTGGTGAAGGTGTTGAGTTCCTTGGGCGTACTGTTGACGGCATCCTGGCTCTTTCCAACTACCGGCTCCATCTGCTGCTGAAAGATACATACTACAGTATACCCTTGGGATTGATAGAGGTCATAGAAGTTAAGGACATCTTCTGTCTACACATTGGCTGCAAGGATGCGCGCTTACTCAGGTCAGGAGAAGTAGCACGTTATTTTCGCTGTTTTACAATGAGTACTGAAGTTTGATCTCTTATTTCATTTAGATGACAAAGGTGTCTAGTCTCTGTCAAGGCTAGAAATGATTGATAATCTGGGAATAGGGAATTTACAACTTTGGACGGCTGGGCTGCCGGCCAGACGTCAGCTACGTTGTTACAGTTTGGCTATATATAAGTGTGACATGCAGGCATCTGGACCACATGTAAGACATGAGACATGGTCATTGAATGTTTAGCTGAATTTTGTACAGTTTTCTTGTATTTATTTATGTATGACTCAATTTTATTCCAGTTCTGCACTGAGCCAACACCTCTGTACCTGTAAGTGGCTCCAAATTCCTACATCTCGTTCCTGCATTCCTTTGTTCAAAGAGAAGCAGATTTAGCAGTCTTTGTGTTCCTCTCAACAAGATACAGTTCACTATTCATTATGCAAGAATGTGGTAATAAATTGCTATGTACATTATTTTATAGATGCACATTTACCACAAATGAGCACTGTCTTGATTGGTTTCATCGAATTCACAAGGCAACAATGGCTCCCGCCAGCATTGAAGACTTATTTGCTTTTGCATTTATGGCTTGGTCAAGTGAGGAGGGGGGTGAAGAAGTTGCTGCGCGTCTTGGGGGCAGCAGAGATGCCCCGACAGGCATCTCGTCCTTCCATGCAGAGGTGGAACGCCTCAGGTTTGATGTGCGTGGTGCCTGGCGCATTTCACAGGCAAGTGTGCTGTCTGTTATGACTGCAAGTCTGATGTGTATTGTTTTTGTCTCTTTAGTAACCTGAATGTGTGGACAAATAGCAGTTGCCACCCACTTTAGGAATTTCACTTCTGTTTGCTATAGCAATAAGGCTTTTTTCTGTTCAAGTTCAAAATATGTGGTCCCAATAAATTTTGTGTACATTTAATGACTGCATTTTCCTAATTATTGTATTGTAATTTCAACATATAACTGTCTTTTTTTATACACCCAAGCATCATGATACTAAGACTCACTGTTTTAACAAATCAGAATTTTCAGTTTGTATTCGCAACTTCCGTAATGTTACATAAAGTCTCGTGCATCAGTTGCATTAATTCAGAGTAAAAGACTCGTGTTTAAGGGACCTTCTCTGTCTCCATCTGGGAATTGCGGGAAGAAAGACTGTTTCCATTTGATGTGGCTGATCACCCAAGAACATTGCATCACGTTCAGTTGCTGTCAGAGCTTCAAGTCTCAGTTTATTCTCCAGTGTTTGTTTCTCCAATATGTGGTACCACTTTTAACGACTCGTCAGGTGGTAGCACATTTCTTCATCTTCAAGTGATCTGGAGTTCTGAGGCTTCTGAGTGTCAAAATGTAAATGTTTAAAAGTGTACATACAGTTTATAATAGGCCAAGTGGAATGACATTTACATACACCTTGTGTGCAGTTTGGCCCTGGTGTTTTGAGAGCATTGAAAAAGACAGTAATAATTTTATTGGGGGGTTCAGTTACTGAGAGAAATTGGAACTATGAAAAGAATTTCGAAATTATATCAAGATCTGTAAACCATTTTCAGAGTGACTTTGTTTTGAATGAAGGTTCATGGGAATGATCTCCATAAATGATTTAATTTGCTTACTTTCATACCCAAAAAACTATGACTTATGGCCACAATGTTATTACATTTTTGAACATTTTATATTATATCGTATATAATAATTGACAAATTAAACAGTATGTAGAATCATGTCGGAAGAGATTCGGTGTAACAAGAAACAGGCTGTTACAAGTACATATATTTAATGTGCAGGCCAATGTGGACTATCGGCTGTGTGCCTCTTATCCGCGACTGTTGCTTGTCCCAGCATGCATCACAGATGAGACCCTAGAGACTGCTGCCCATTATAGGAGTGCACAGCGAGTGCCTGCCGTTGTGTGGAGGTAAGCAAAGTTACAGAGCACCATGGTTCAGGGTTTTCTGAGTAAGGGACAGTTGCACATCCAGTCCAGGAATCCAGATTTTCATCCCTTAGAATTTATTTTGCCTTGCTGTAGAGTACAAAATGCAGGGGAAGTATTGTTTTTGTTTTTTCAGGCATACTGGCAATGGGGCTGTGATTGCTCGCTGCAGTCAACCAGAAGTGGGATGGCTTGGCTGGAGGTCCGCTGCAGATGAAAACTTGCTAAAGGCCATTGCACATGCATGCGCGTATGATCATGGGCGCTGCACCGTTGTGGACCGTGGCACAATCAATAATAAGGCGGCTGAAAGTGATATTGATGGAAACAGCTGCAAGGTTTGTGAGTCGCATTCTGATAAGTGACGGTGATTCCTGCTTCCCACTGTACATCATAGATATTAAATTGATAATTAAGCAGTTTAATGACTTGTCTGCGTGAAAGTTTGAGAATATGTTCTGCTGAATATCACAACTTTGTAAAGAAACTGCTCTTTTTAAAAGAATTGAATGTCATACAACCAAGTCGGTTAGCATAGAATTTTTATTTGAGGTAGCCAGCATTCCAGTTGGTGTGGTTATGACTTTCACCTTTTTGTAGAAGGTGCTGATCATGGACGCGCGTTCGTACACGACGGCCGTGGCTAACCGTGCCCGTGGTGGTGGCTGCGAGTGCCCCGAGTACTACCCGAGCTGTGAGATCCAGTTCATGAACCTGGCAAACATTCATTCAATCCGCAGCAGTTTCCAGTCTGTACGACAATTATGTTCCTCTGCTGCAGACATCTCAAAGTGAGTTCTCGCCCTGTGCAGACTTCTACGAACCTGTTGGCCTGAATTGGACAGGTTGAATTATTACTTTACATAAATACCTGAATGTATAGATATATTTCAGTAAATAGAAGACATATTTTACACAGTAATTGCAAGCACAAACAAATCAATTTGTGGTGTTCTTTATCTTGACTAATAATGTGTCATGTTTAATATAATGGCCATCAAATATCATGATGCTCCCACCTTCAAAGTAAGTATAAGCAGTAATAAACTTTTCCTAATAGCAGTGTTGTACAGAACATTGTGGCCAAGTGGTTAGCACTCCTGCTTCATACTGTCCTGATATTGTTTGTGTTTTTTTGCAATCCCTCTGTGCACATTCTGGGATAGTAACTTAAACATTCCATGATCTCTTCCTTCCATATACTTTTCATTTTATTATTTATTAATCATTTGACTGTATAATCTGAACTACTGACAGCACTGTTTGAGAAACCACAATAGTAATGATCTATTTGTGATAATGTGACAATTTTAATGTTTGTTTTTAATGCCTAAGTTGGAAATCTTTGAATGCCAAATGTGGTCTGTTGGTTTACTTCACAGCCCCACATCATTATTCAGATCAGAAGCACGAACCAGTTTTCAGTGAAATTGCTTGTGGGGTTTGCAGAAGTGGCTCTGTTACAGGTGGTTCAGTCAACTGGAAGGGACTCACTGGCTTCATCATATGTCTGGCTTACTGCGGGCTGCTGTGACAGTAGCGTCTGCGATAGAACATGAAGAGCGGCCAGTCCTGGTCCACTGTTCAGATGGCTGGGACCGCACACCTCAGATTGTGGCCCTTGCAGAGCTGTTACTGGACCCGTACTACCGTACGATTGACGTAAGTACTGTTGGTGGCAGATGCTTCCAGTTATGTTTTTGGCCTTTGTCCACACAGCAAGGTTGTTCTACTGGCATTAGTGTGATACTGGTGAGTGTAGGAGAAGTCAGTTTAGTGGGGCTGTAGTGGCTTCTAAACAAATTATCTGATTTTTAAGTAACCAGACAATAAGGAAGATCTGAAAGAAAAATTGGTTAGACAAAAGACGCATTGGTATGGTGTGTTATGAATGGATGTCAGTAGCATCATAAAGATGATAGTTTTGGAGATGAAAGACTAGGTGGAGGGAAGTGATGTTCAACATGTTGGTATAAAGGGACAGCCGCTGTCACAAACCTTAAGACATTCATTAAACGTTATGTTCCTCACTGTAACTGGGTAATGTCAGACTGAAATGTCTCTTTGTTTCCTTTTTGCAGGGTTTCCAAGTGCTGTGTGAGCGGGAGTGGCTTGACTTTGGCCACAAGTTTGCTGATCGGTGTGGGCATGCAGTGGGGAAGGCTGACCCCAGTGAGCGCTGTCCTGTGTTCCTCCAGTGGCTGGACTGCGTACATCAGTTGCTGCACCAGTTTCCCTGCAGTTTTGAGTTCTCACAGGCATACCTGGTCAGTTGAGCCATTCCAAGTGATTCCTATGCACCCCATTCCTCTTGACACATTCAAAGGAATTTTATGGCGATTGTTTGTGATTTACAGGTGAAGTTAGCACAACACACATACTCAAACTTGTTTGGAACGTTCCTGTGCAATTCAACGCAAGAACGCACAAGTCTGAAGGTTGCTGAGAGGACTTTCTCAGTGTGGAAGTTCCTCAAGGCTCCCAACTTCAGGAACCACCTGTACTGCACTTCACGAGATGTGGTGAGTCGTATTGTTACGGCATGACCTTGACGGTGCTTTTCTCAGTCTTGCTTCATTGTTTTCTTACTGTTGTAATTTATTTTCTTTATTGGCCTGTTCATTTTTCTTCATTTACCTCTAAGACTCCATTTTCTTTGTCTTTTGGGATCTGCTGTTTGTTCAATGTGTGAAGTTTCCTGAGCAGCCTTCATTTTAGATTTACAGATAAACATCAACATTGCTTTTCAGGATGTTTTATCCTATGTTCAGGTTTTTCAGTCATACCACGGTGTGGAGTGATGTATGTCTAACAGTGATAGCCCAGCGTTAGTAATACCAAAATAACTTTTTACGGGTATAGCCAGATCATATACGAGCCCATGTGTGAGTTATGAAGACTGCCACTTAAGTTATAAGCTATGGTATCAACTTGTGCACAGGTGTTGTGGCCTTCCTGCAATGTGCGGGACCTCGTGCTATGGAGTGAGGTATACCTAGGTGCAGTGGAGACTAGCCAACCTCTGTCACCCGTCGGTGGTGCGGCAGCAACGCAGCATGGTTCGGGTGCCGCTCTGAATGGTGACCATGGTTCAGCGCACCACAGTGGGCCTGCCTCATCTTCTGCTCCAGTTGGCAAGACTCGTTCCTATGATGACTTGCTAGCCGCAGCTGATCACGCAACTCAGATGCATCGGCGTTCCAGTGATCCTAGTATCGCTCTAGACACGTATGTATGCATCCTCTTTGTTTTGAGCACTGTGCGGCAGCTGATGGTAGCTTTGCATTGTGTATCATAGCTTTTAGATATGTGATGATGGCTTCTGTTTCACTCATAGCAAGTTTGGTACTCTGAAATTGGCCACACATGATGATGAGGAATCAGTGGATGAGTCAGCAGATCACTTCATGTCACCAGCAGAAACATCTCTCCTGCAGAGCAGTTCACATCATGTTGAAACCTTCTCCTCGCTTTCCAACTACAACAGTTTGTCTGCTGAGGGTATTGGGGATCCACGGCTTGCTGATGATTCAGAGGATGATGACAATGAGGACACTACGACTGAATCCAGATCAGAGATGACCATCTGTGCTGTGACGACAATTGCGAGCGTGGCATCTGTGCCTCAGTCTGTGGACAGCTCTACGGACACACTGGTGGCTGGTGATGTAAACGGATGTAATGGAGTTATTAAAGCATTGGATGGTACCATGTTTACTGATGAAGAGAATGGTGTCGTTCAGCCCATCCTAGTTGCTAGTCGGGTTCTAGGGAGCCCGACAGTAGAGCTCCCAGGGGGTGACGTGTGCAGGGTTTGTGCCACTAGCCGACGATTCCTGGCAGATGGGAGTGCCAGTAGCTCCACCAGCGGGAAGACGTCCCGATACTCCACTCCACCACTGTATTCCCGCACCCCAAGCTCTGGATATCCTGCCACACCCAACGATGAGAGGGCACCACGGCACCACCACTCTGGTGTTACCAGTCACCGCCCAGATGACCTTGATGGTTTAGCACCACTGCACAGTGATGTTCAATTGCGTCTCCAGCAAATAATTGCAGAACACAGGGTGAGTAATGCCTCATACTGTACAGAAATATGTTCTAGCATTGCTTTCATGATTTCATGTTTTTGTACAGATTAGTTTCAAAATATTTTCATAATGAGTTATGGTATGTGTAAAATTTAAGAGTTTTAGTGCAGGCTTTCTCTTGTAATGTTTATCCATGTTCATCCTACACTTCCCTTCATCAGGTTGGTATTTGTATGAGATTTGAGAGTCTCGTGGCAGCGAAGATGTTGTCATGTCATCATGCAAAAAAGCTGTTCCATGACAAATTACAGATGTCATTAAGGTCTGCCACTTTTATCTGAATATGTTAATTCAGTGGAACGATATGTAACTTCTGACTATGCAGTGGATGTGCTTATGAAAAGCGTGTAAAGCTAATTTTCCATGAGAACTAGGTGATATACAATAAAACACATTTATTAATGTAAAATGTTTATATACTGGGTCTACAATTTATCAGGCTGCGGTTGTGCTTGCATTGCGTGGTTGGCCGGCGCTCTGTTGATGTCGGAGGAAGTCGTGCGCGTTCTCCCGGTGGGTGACCGGCGAATCAGTTTCAGTGCCGCTAGTAACAGCGAACTACAAATATTTCTCGTCACTAATACATGTTATTACATTAATTGTTCTTACCTTAAATCACAAAAGATGTTCAAAGTGACTTCCTTGTGCTTGCAGGCAAGCTTCACATCTCGTTAACATGTTTCGAAATACTCGACGAAGCTCTTCTTGGGAAATTGCCGAAATCAATTGTCGAATATTTTCTTTAAGTGCTTCTGCAGTGTGCAGGTAAATTGTGAACGTTATGTAAATTTAATAGTTAGACCCTTTTTCCAAGAAATGACCCATGAAGAAAAGAATTACGGTTTCTTCATGCAAGACAATGCTACAGCTCACACAGCTGATCGGTCGATGTTAGCATTAAGAGAAGTGCTTGGTGAACAAGTTATCGATCAATGGCCTCCTGTGGGGCATGCTGAAGAAAAAAGTTTATGTAAACAATCCGCACACTGCAGAAGCACTTAAAGAAAATATTCGACAATTGATTTCGGCAATTTCCCAAGAAGAGCTTCTTCGAGTATTTCGAAACATGTTAACGAGATGTGAAGCTTGCCTGCAAGCACAAGGAAGTCACTTTGAACATCTTTTGTGATTTAAGGTAAGAACAATTAATGTAATAACATGTATTAGTGACGAGAAATATTCGTAGTTCGCTGTTACTAGCGGCACTGAAACTGATTCGCCGGTCACCCACCGGAAGAACACACACGACTCCCGCCGACATCAACAGAGCGCTGGCTGACCACGCAATGCAAGCACGACCACAGCCTCATAAATTGTTGACCCAGTATTTGTACTTTATGTTATGTGAACATTTGAGAGACAGTGTCTAATCAGCTGCATGCTGTCATCCGACATGTTGCCTGTCACTGATCGTGTAGCCATGTTATTGTTAAGGCAAGAACCGTGTAAATAGTGATATGGCTGTGTATAATAAATAAACATAAGGCCTAGTGAAATGTAGAACATAGCAAAAGTGTGTTCAATTGGAGTACCTCTTTAAGTTCATGTTTTTGAGCTGAATTAAAATTTAGTTTTTGCATTACTAAATCCAGAAGTCTGTGTATTTCTTTGAAAGTGATGGTTAGGTTAGGTTAAGTTGGCAGAGGCATGTTTGTATTTGTGCTGCTTTGTTGCCATAGGCCAAAGAGGATGCTTTACAGCGGGAGCTGTACACAACAAGACTAGCACTGATTCAGCAGGTGTGTCACCATTGCAACCACACCAATGCTGAGAGACCTGACGATGATGTAAGTGATGTTGATAACAGAGCATCTTAAAGCATTTACTTTATGTTCATTTTAGTTTTTTTTATGTTAAGTTTTTAATGATAAATTAATTTAGGTTATCAGTCATGTAGTGTGTGTCAAGCTTTGTATTAAGTGTGATGAATTGATGGCTTCAGTAGTTAGTTGATGAGCTGATCAATAAATTGATTGTTATTCTTTAACCTCAAGGTTCAACACTGTCACCACAAAAGACTGCCATTTATCACACGCTGTGTATGTAGCTCATATCTGCCGCTTGATTCAGTTCTTCTGAATGTAGCTTGGTAAAGAGAACAGCTTATCTTGTGCTGGTGATGACTTGCCCACTTGTCGCTCACCGATTTCCGAACTGTGTGACAGGGTTCGCTGCCGGAGTCAGTGTGCAGTGGGGAGCAGCCTTCAGCTGGAGAGTCTCTCCCCTCTGATGTGTCATGGGAAGCTGTGGAGGAGCGTGAGACGGGCCCAACCCTGTGGGTGCCAGACCACGCCGTTAATCGGTGCATGGGCTGCGACACCGAGTTCTGGCTCGGCAGACGAAAGCATCACTGCAGGTGCCGTTTTATAGATATTACAGCTCTGAAGTGAAGTTTCCCAACTTGTATGGTACTCAGAATGTTCATTACTTTATTCAAAAGGTCCCACTGCTTGTCCTATCCTGAGCCAGATCATTCTGCTGTATTCCCTATTCATGAGATCTCATGTAACTTTGTTCTCTCATAGTGCTCATAAGTGAATTTCATATCAGTACTACGTATAATTTCAGAATAAATCAGGATACAGTGTGATTTCAGGTTCTCATGGCGACAAGTATAAATATTCTGCGAATTTTATCATGTTATCCAGTAGGCACTGACTGATGTTACAGAGGTCACTGCATCTCTTCATCGGGGTGATCAATCAGTCAATATCTACCAAGCATTTTGTTAATATGCATTTATTTGATAAAATTACATGGTTTTGAGGATATCAGGCACACCTCTGTTTCAACATGTAATGAGAGTATTTCTTTCTTTGGCTTTCTCATTTAGAACGGGCAAAACATTTGGATTTTGGTTCAAAATGCAGTTTGATGTTTGCACAGTAAAGTTTCCTGGTAAAACCAAGAATATTATAATTACATTTCGAGCAGTAATAATGTTCTTTGATGCAGGAACTGTGGGAAGATCTTTTGTGCCGACTGTTCGGAGAACACTGTGCCTCTGCCAAATGAGCAGCTGTATGATCCAGTTCGTGTCTGCAGCAGCTGCTTCTCGCTGCTGCACAATGCGTCGGCACTACTCAAGCGCCAGCAGGTTATTGGAACGGGCAGTACCAATGGCTTTTTGGTAGATATGGATCCACCAAAACCTTTACCACTGTCAGTTATTAGTGGAGGGGGTATGGACAGCTGTAAGCAGCAAGGAACTGAGGTGAAGTGCCCAAAACCTGTTGTCACTGCTGCCTCCACTTGAACAACTTCAGAGTGCAGGCTGTTCTATTGGCATTTGGCTTGAAAACGTAAGAGTGAGATTTATAACTTCAGTTTCTGTATTTTAATAACAAATTATGGATCTGCAGGAAAAATTTCAGATGAGTGGAATTTGATGACAGATGGAAACATAAGTCAGAGACATTTGCCTTTTTGTGTTTAAATAATGAGCTTTGTGACAGTTCCTGTCATGCTGTAGACAGCTTGACCACCACCTACTTTACCCCCAAAGGCCATAGTGTGGGAACAAAACATGTATTGTAGTTGAACACAAAAAAATATATTCGAAATGTTTGCTAGTCATGATGTAATTATTATTTTGTAAATTGGTAATACTTGTACTGTATAGCCTTGCCTCCCTGGTTCCCACTCTGTGGCTCTTGCACTGTACTGACAGGTGGCTTTGAAATTCCTGTGTACCCTATGATGCAGTTTGTAAATTTGTTGTGTACTACCAGGGTCCTTTCCCGGGGGTAAAGTGCAGCTGGGGTGTGATGCTGACCACTCACCCCCCTCTAGTGCCAAGGATAATAATGAGTAGGAGCTATATTCCCCCCCCCCCCCAAGTGCCTACATGGCGCATAGTGGGACTCCTTTACATTTACTTTCAACTGTGCAGTGGAGAGCCATGTTGAGAAGTTCTGTGATGGGGGCAGCCTCCTGGATTGGATACATACAGTAGAACCTGTTATAAGTGTCTTCTGTCTGCGGCTTGATGTACACAAGTTACAACCTTTTTTTTAAGACTTTACAGGAGTTTGAACAACTACACCCGTCACATGAAATTGTATTATATTGTGTAGCAAATAAAACCAGCTCAACCATCTACCATAGTCATTTCAGATCCATACAAATATCCATATAGCAAAGAAAATTCTTTGTTACAGAAAGACAGTACAGATGGTACGGTGAACCCTCCTAAATTATATAATGCCCGCTTCTTTTCCCCCCCAAAATTTACTATTATCATTTTTATCGATCGACGCTGTACAATCTGATACGCTGAATTCCGTCAACCAGCCATGAGTAGGTATGTGTATTACCATTGAGTTTCCATTGCAACAAATGCTCTGCACTGCAGAGAGTAGTAGATAATTTTATCTTCACAACTCTTCGGTCCTCTTCCAATTCTTCCATTCCTGATAGGCCTTCCTTTTCTGACATCACTCAATTCATCACTACTGCTGCTGCTGTCCACTCCATTGTCTTCAATTATGATACATTCAATAGCGTCTTCGATTATGCCTGATCAATCACATAATATTTGTGCTCAGCTATTAGTTATAAAAAACATAAACCTTATTTCTAACTTTTGCAATGATAAGAAGGTAACTAGAGTGATAAATGAAGTCACTTTAAATGAATTTATACAACACCTGAGCAGTAAAGATTGGGAATTATTACTTAGTGGGATTCAAAATTCAATTCTTTTCTAAACATCTTTTTAAGCATATTTGAAAAAAGTTTTCCTACTAAAACAAGGAAAAAATTGTCTGAAACCAATGTATGGATAACTAAAGGCATCAAAACATGCAAATATAAGCGAGCTCTTTACCTAAATAGCAGGTCCATTAAGAACCCACTACTGAAGCAACACTATAGACAATATTGCAAAATTTTACTTCAAGTCATTAAAGAAGCTAATCGCATGCATTACAATAAATTGATAGAGTCTGAAAACGAAAATAAAGTAAAAACTGTTTGGAAAATTGTAAAAAAGGAAACTGGCAAACAATCTAGAGACATTGAATGCCCACCAATAATGATAAATAATAATAGGGTAAATGATCCTCAACTTATAGCTAACTATTTTAATACCTACTTTTTAACAACTGTAGAAAGAATGAACAGCAGTGATACCATAACTCCAAAAACCGAAGATGCCTTGAAGTTCTTGGCTAAGGCAATTCCTAATTCATTTCCAAATATTAATCTAATTCCTACCACACCAAATTAAATTAAAAGTATAATAACTTCTCTCAAGTAAAAGAATTCATGTGGTTATGATGGAATTTCATCTAAAGTACTTAAATCTTGTGTAGATTATATAAGTATTCCATTACGTTATCTTCGTAATCATTCAATGGCTGTAGGAATGTTTCCTGAAAGACTTAAATATTCAAAAGTAAAAACCACTATATAAAAACGGTGAGAAATCCTGCATCTCTAATTACAGAGCTACTTCACTGCTGACAACATTTTATAAAATTTTTGAGAAAGCTAGAGGACACTTCTATCCTCTCCTCAAAAACCGGCTACATGATCGGTTAATCAGGGAAGCCATCGAGATCGAACTACATCCCGATAACTTTAACAGGGAAGATGGACTTCACCTGAGCCAGTCCTGGAAGCCTCTTATTCACACACTCCGAGAGCGAGCAAGAGTGCGCCGCCAGAACCAACCAGACCACTGACTCGGCCCTTTTCAGGGCCCTGATCCATACAACCAAACTCACCTTCCTCTCTCTACTTTCTCTCCCACTCTCGCCCACGTGCTACCATTGGTCCACTCCCATACCTGCTCCCATTGGCTCGGGGCAGGCTATACCTTTCACTTCCCGGCCTATAAATCCAGCTCCTCACACCCTATTGGCATATTCATCGCCCTGATGACGGAGGCAGTATGACCTCTGAAACATTGGTTAACATCGACCAGACTACACAGCGCAATAACCCAGAAGACGGATATCTTCATACTCACCGCTGTGAGAACCTCAAGTCTTACAAAGTTATGTTAGTTGAAAATATCATGAATGATGTCTTTGCCAACACAAACAAATGGTTTACAGCTAACAAACTGGCACAAAATTTTGAAAAAACAAACCATAAAATTTGTTAATAAGAACAAGAAATATCCTAGGTGAAATATGGGTTTAGAAGAAAAATTAATTGCGAAAGTTGAAACAAACAAATTCCTTGGCTTACAAGTTGACAATACCTTAGATTGGAAGAAACACATTGAGTGTATTATTCCCAAATTAAGCTCTGCATGCTTTGCCTTGAGAACAATCATACTCATGACAATAGATACTTTAAAGCTAGTTTACTTTGCTTACTTTCACTCTGTAGTGTCATATGGATTAATCTTTTGGGTAAATTCAACATACATACATACATCTTTATTACATTCCATGGATCCATAAGTTAGTCAGATGACAATAGGATGTAGAATAAGTCATAATAATACAATACATGTTATTCAAATACAAGTCATACTATTATATAAATGTCACAAATACAAACAAAGGATTCACATAAAGTAGAGATAAGTTACAAATAAACCCACCCATTATATACAATAGATAAATTATGACTTACTTGTAAACATTACAAATTCATCGACAGAGTAAAAGGAGTGTGTAATTAAGTATCTTTTTAATGCTAGTTTAAATTGTGCCTTTTTATTTACAAGAC